CTAGCATGCCCACACAGACATAAAGATTAGTGGCAGCACCGAGGTGCTGGATGCATCAGCAGACAGGGTTGAAGCATATACACAGCCACACGAGTAGGCACAGGTGCAAGGACTCACTTGAAGAAGCTGATGATCAATCCAATGCAGGACGTACAGGATCTCGCTGTGAGGAAGAGGGAATCCAGACTCACAGAAGACAAGGTAGGTGGTGGGCAACCGCAGGGATTAAAGAGGCAAGAAATAAACAGGAAGTCCGACTGGGTGAAAGGAAACGTTGCTCGAACGGCACGGAACAAGTGAGCTGGACTTTTAATGGAGAGGTTCAGAGTGGATTGGCAGGAAGCCAAGCAGCTCAGACAGGAGGTAAAACCCGTCGCCGGATCCTCACACAGGGAAGTGTGACAGTCACCAGCAGCTCACTTGTCGTGGGTCTGTGACTCAAGGAGGGGAAGGGGAGATCACCCATATGCCACAGGGGTGCAGGTAGGTGGTTTATGAATCTTCTTAAGCCCCCTTCTTTACACCTATATCTGAAAAATTATTTAAAATGCTATATATTACTTTAATCCTACTGCCAATGAGATCTGTACTTTGACCCAATACCTTCATTTATTTAATTGTTTATTTTGGGTCTTTTTGGCCCACTTCACCATAACCAGTTGGGTTATACCTTCTCACTGCTCCCCAGTTTCTGCTCCATAAAAAAGGTAAAATGTCACATAGCAATCGATCACATAATTCTGTGGATTCCTCTCCAACCATTGTTCCTGGTTTTCCTACATCTGCTGTTGATCTTATTGCTACTTTTCCTCTGCCTACCTCCTCTGTGTCCTCCTACACTACAGATTGCACTTCATTCATGCACTCAGGGGTACCATGCACACTATAGTGTATAGCCAGACACACCTTTATGTCAGCAGCCATTTTTGTTTTTCCTCATTGGCTTGGGTGCTGTTATAAGTGCAGCTCATAATCTGGCTGACCATCGGAGGGGACACAGAATTGATCCAGCTGCCGGCGCTCAGCGGAGAGAAGAAAAGCTGGTAGGAAGCTAAGCGGGTGGTGCAAGGAGGAGACAGTTGACAGTTGTGCGGGAAGAGAGCTTGGTTCCATCAGCAGTCAGAGAGCAGAGCACAAACACTTAGCGATCAGTGCTGATCGCTGAGTGTTTGTAAATAACTGAGGATATAGTAAGCTTACTATGTCCCAAGTTATGAATGAACAGAAAGTGCTCTACATCACTTCCTGTTCATTCATGATTGTGCACTTAGTAACTAATACTATCTCCTCTATTTATGAATGGACAAGAGCACTCAGTATAGTGGCTTCCTGTTTATTCATAACAGGGGTGGCAGAAAAAAGAGATTTAGGAGTTGTGTCTTCAATCTCTTTTTCTATTTTAAAAGGGAAATATCAGGGGTCTGTTTAGAGCTCTGATATTTCCACAAAGCCCCTAACAATAAAGTAAAAAATAAAAAAATAAATAATTATAATTAAATAATTAAAAAATAATCTAAAAAATGTTTAAAAGGTTGGGGGAAAAAGTTATTTTCGATTTCAGTGTCAGCCTGACAAATCTTTTAATTTTGGTTTTGGTCTAAAAATGTAATTTCGGTGGATCCATAATAATGACCTTGGTTGAACTTCAAACAGCATACATGATTGGGCTACTAATATAGAGGGGTACAACCTGTTCAGGAGGGACAGAGGGGGGAGAAGGGGGGTTGCATTTATGTTAAAAATAATCTAAAAATGCACATACGGGACGATATCACGTCAAATAGTGTAGAGAGTTCTACCAATATATAAACAGTAAAAAGGGGAGAAAGGAGCAGATAGGCCCAATAAAGGACGAAAATGGGAAGTTACTCACAAATGACAAGGAGAGGGCCAAAGTGCTGAACACTTTTTTCTCCTCAGTATACACTCATGAAAAAAGATGGGTTTAATGTTATAGATAAAACACATAGTTCAACAAAAAATATACCTCAGTGGTTTACGGAAACTGGAATACAACAAAGACTTAAGCTACTAAATGCAAATAAAGCATTGGGACCAGATAACCTGCATCCCAAGATACTTAAGGAACTGAGCGAGGTTATAACAAGACCATTATTCATCATTTTTAAGGACTCTTTAATGACGGGCATAGTACCAAGTGACTGGCGGAGGGCTACGGTAGTTCCAATATTCAAAAAGGGGGCAAGATGCCAACCTGGGAACTACAGACCAGTTAGTCTTACATCGGTAGTTTGTAAACTGTTAGAGGGAATGATTAAGGGCCACTTAGTAGAATTTGTTCAGGGTAATGGCATAGTTAGTGATAATCAGCATGGGTTTAGGAAAGACCATTCCTGTCAGACTAACCTACTAACTTTTTACGAGGCGGTAAGTAGAGATCTGGATGGAGGGAGGTCTGTGGATGTGGTATATCTGGATTTCTCAAAGGCTTTTGATACGGTACCACACAAATGCTTACTATACAAGCTGAGGTCTATGGGCATAGATGGAAGGGTGTGTACATGGATAGAGAACTGGCTAAAGGAACGGGTACAGAGAGTTTTAATAAATGGCGCCCTTTTAGACTGGGCTAGTGTCATGAGCGGTGTGCCTCATGGTTCTGTGCTGGGTACCATGCTATTCAACCTGTTTATTAATTACATCGGGGAGGGTGTAAACAGCAATATTTCAGTGTTTGCAGACGATACGAAGATCGCAAGGGTAATTGAAACGGACCAAGATAGTATATCATTGCAGGAGGACCTGAACAAAATAGGGGAGTGGGCAACTATATGGCAGATGAGGTTTAATGTCGATAAATGCAAAATGATGCACTTTGGGCCCAAAAATTAAAAAATGGATTATACAATTATGGGTGTGCCGCTAGGGAAGTCAGAAATGGAGAAAGACTTGGGGGTCATAGTAGACCATAGACTAAATAATAGCTTTCAGTGCCGGGTTGCTGTAAGCAAAGTTAGTAGAGTCCTGTCCTGTATCAAAAATTTAATGATTTGCAGGGACAAGTCTATAATTGTGCCACTGTACACTTCATTGGTTCGGCCTCACCTGGAGTATGCGGTCCAGTTTTGGGCACCAGTACACAGAAAGGATGTCCTGGAGCTGGAAAGAGTCCAGGGGAGGGCAACCAAACTAAGGGAATGGAGGACCAGAGCTATGAGACACGGCTACTAAATTTAAATATGTTCATGCTGGAAGTAAGGAGATTAAGGGGGGATATGATTTCCATGTACAAGATGTTCAACGGTCAAAGCAACATTACCAACAAACTCTTTACGCTTAACTCCATAACAAAGACTAGAGGCCATGACCTATAATTGGTGGAAAAAAATTCCAACACAAGGGGCGAAAGGGGTTCTTCTCAGTTAGAGCGGTTAGGGTTTGGAACTCTCTGCCACAGGCAGTGATTTCAGCAAAGAGTGTTGAATCATTCAAGAAGCCTTTGGACGATTTCCTGAGTTACCATAATGTACAAGGGTACAGGTACTCTTAAGAATGTGATGACACAGGGACCTATACATACACACACACACAATAGGTTGGACTATGGACTTGTGTCTTTATTCAACCTCAAATACTATGTAACTATGTAACTTCCCAGTTCTTGCTGTGATTTCTGACTTCAATTCTGTTCCTCACTTTGACTATATGTATACTCAGGCCAGTTTTGGTGGAAGCAGTTTAACCTACCAGCGTATTTCAGATTGAAGGTAAAAACTGCTGCCAAGATTAAATTAATGTACAAATGGGGAGAAGGTACAAATGCTATGCAGAATGAGGGATTTAAACCCAAGAGCTGCAAGGCAAGGCTGCTAAATGTGCTGTCTATGTACTACTCTGTGGCTCTGTAGCTTAGTTGTATTGATCCTGGGAGATCAACCTCTGGCTTTTACCTGACGGTCAATGGCCACCCTTCTCAGGCTTTAACATCTCCTACAGGTTCCTGGGTTGGTCCAAATATTGAACCACACATATGAACTGCCCGGGAAAGGTGGTTGCTAAAGATGAGAAAATAAGACCTAGTGTGGTTTTTGGGGGCAAAAAAAAATATAAGACAGTGTCTTATTTTCGGGGAAAAAAATAATAGGTTGACCATTAACTTTAGCATAATATAAACATATTTGGTAATTACACAGTACAGGGACAAATGAGGGGGAAAGAAATACGCAGCAGAGGGTAGAGAGGCTGAAGGGAGTGGTTTGGGTGAGCATAACTTTATTATTTTAGCACCTAGACAAAATGAGCACCTGACCCTTGCAGTAGGTAGTCCCACTGCAAGGGTTAAGATTTGATTTGCCCAGAGTTCTGCTTTAAAGTGTATAGAAAGCAATGGTGACGCCATTCACTTTTTTCCAGCCTTTTTTCCCTTTATTTTCATCTGGTGATCCTGTGAATAACACACTTCCTGTCCCTGTTCTGTGCTCACATGAAGTGAAGAGGGCACTGCATTTGTGGCAAGATAAACAGTAGTGATATGTCTGGGCTTGGTGCAAACCCAGTTCCTCGAAGCCTGAACAAAGGTATCAGTTACACACCCCCTGGGGTATTCCCGCTACATGTAACAAAGGGCCAGGGAATGCACCTGCTGCAACTGATTGGACCTGGATGGGCGGTGGGGGGGAGTGTGTCAGTGACACATGCACAGACTTTGCCAAAGTCAGTTCATGCACATCACTAATCAACAGGTATTTTCTGTACTTTCTGAAAATGTTCTTAGACTGAAAAAGAAAACTAAGACAACTACCACATCTAAGAACTACTAAGCTGAACAATGGGCCATTTATCTTTTTAAGATTAAATGCACTTTAAAAAGGGTTGGACTATAAATAGCCCCTTTTTTAACAAAACCAATACATAGTCATCCATGGGCATTACTTTGATTTTTGTATACAAGCCAAAATGAAGGAATTCAGGTACGGCGCCCCTTCAGATACTGCGCAGGGTCCAGCAGGGGGATCGCTTTTCCTTCGGAACTCGGAGTGCAGCCTTCTTGTTTCCGGGGGAAGGAGTTCAGAACGGAGCCGGCGCTGTCATGGCTGCCTGACAACCGCACGGTGGAGCTGGATTGAGAGTGTCCTGAGCATTGTAGCGAAGCTGTAAGGTACAGAGGTGTGCGGGGCTCAGGGCTCTGGTCCTAGCTGGGAGGAGGAGGGAGTGCGGGCAGACATGGAGGGGTGACCGGGAAGAGGGGGGATACCGAGGCCTGAGGAGCGGGCCCGGCCCTCCAAGGGTGACTACTTAAGAGGTTCGGGGCCTGGCCTCCATATAGAGGCTGCACGTTAAGTAGAAGAGGCCGGGTCATAGCATAGTGTCAGGGGGACAGTTATCACTCGGTCTGTGACCTTTCCTATAGAACACAGGGCTCGCCTAAGGAGAGTGGCGATGTACTGCACATACACTAGGCTTATTTCTGCTTCTCTCATACCTTCCTTCTTAGCAGGTAACGAAACTACTAGAACTGTCTGACTACATTGTGTCCACTGATTGGTCCATTGGGGATGGATCTGTGCATCACCTGCTTTCATTCAAAGAATAAAAGGGTTATTTATTTCAAGGCATTGCTTGAGAAAAGTTCCATATACCAACAGATTGTCAAAAAAAAAAACAAGATATAGGGCATTATTGGTGAACATAAGTTATGGGGCTTTATTGGTGAACATAAGATATGGGGCGTTATTGGTGAACATAAGATATGGGGCGTTATTGGTGAACATAAGATATGGGGCGTTATTGGTGAACATAAGCTATGGGGCGTTATTGGTGAACAGGGGGAATGTAGACAATAACATTCTTGCAGAGCAACACTGGAGGTAGCTGGCGTGTCTGGGGAAGTTTAGAGTGACACTAAACTCAGGAGTTAAATCTTAAAAAATACATTCAAGTACCTTTTAACTATTAAAAATGTAGCATATCTTTGTATCACTCGGCTGTAGAACATCAAATCATCTCTGAATTCATACTGACACTGTCCTTCCTTCTGGAGGGCGACTACTTTTGTTTCCATGGTCCCTGTGTGTTGTAAAGTAGCCACTGTTCCATGTTCGCTCCTGTGATGGACTACAATCTCAATACAAAATTATGAAACTAAACGTGAGATTGTAGTCTATCACAGGGGTGAGCTTGGAGTGGTGGCTACATTACAACACACACAGTGACTAAGGGGAACAGAAGTAGCCACCCTCCAGAAGGAAGGAGAGTGTCAGCACCAATTCAGAGATGATTTGAGGATCTACAGCCGAGTGGTACACACGCAAGATACATTTTTGTTAATGGTAAAGGTACTTGAATGTATTTTTAAAGATTTAACTCCTGAGTGCAGTGTCACTTTAAACTTCCCCAGACATGCCAGCTACCTCAAGGTACTGGAATGCATTTTTAAATTGTAACTCCCGAGTTTAGTGTCACTTTAAGACCTAGGTCTCCTTATGATGGTGTTTAAAGAAGAACTCCAGGCAATCTAAAAGTTCACCCCGACACTTAGTTTGGTTTTGGGGCTAACTAAAATAAAGAAAATTTACTCGCCTCATCCTTGGCCCCGTTTGGCTGCTAGACCAGTCCCTGTAGCCTCTTCTCCTTCCCGGGCTCTGACTTCTAAAGACCTGTCACATCATTACATCTAATGCAGCTGCATTAGACATAAGGCTGCCAAGGGACATTCCACCGCCAGAGTGGAGAGGGATAGAGGTGAGTGATCACCACAGCAGGACCAGGGGAGTATATTTTCTTTATTTCAGTCCCTGGGGTAGCTCCACTGCAATGGTTAATTCTTAGATTGCCTGGAGTTCTTCTTTAAAGTGTGCAGTATACTTGGTTTGTTGAAGTGGACCTCCTGTGATTTGATCACCATTCTGGCCAGTCACATGATGGAATTTTATTTGTTAAATGTATTTATAGGGCATACTTTCAATTTACATACATTTCAGGCAGGCACTGGCCTTTTAAGGCAGGAACAGACCCACCAATTTAATGTCTCCCAAAACAGGTACTTTCAAGGCATGTCAACTGTCAAGGTTGCCAGTGTGCTTATTTCAGCTTTCAACCAAACTTTAAAGCCCTCAAAAAGTTGGTGTTATAGCTGATCACATGTGCAGCATCATGGCAACTGCAGTCCATGATGCTAAGATGGCACATTCCTTGACTGTGAAGGATGTAAGGTGTAGGTCTGCCAGTTAAAGTATAATTAAAGTCGCGGTTTTGGGGTTTTTTTGTTTGCATATATCTTCTGCTTGCTAGCAGTAGATGTATGCAAAAACATTTTTTTTTTAAAAGTTACCAAAAAGGGTTTTACTTACCTGTGTCACCGCCGCTCGCTTCCGTCTGAAGATTCTCGAGCAGCATTATGGAGGCATTAGTCAGCGCTGGATCAGAGAGCGGCATCATCGCTGGAGGAACTCCTGAAAACTACAGGAAAGAAGATGATGATTGGATCAAGAGGCATCTTTAAAGCTACAGGGGGGGTGCAATGTGACTTTAATGTCACTTTAACCTACCAGCATGTCTTTGGAGTGTGGGAGAATGTAGAAACTCCTTGCAGGTAGTGTCCTGGTTGGAAATTGAACTAATGACCGCTCTCAGTTTACACATTGCTTTACATACTATTTATTCACATCAGTTTAAGCAGCTTAAGTTGGTCATACAGGGAGTACATTTTGGTTGGTTCATTAAGCATTTATTTATCCCTATGTAGCACTATCATCAAGTATTTATATAGTGATATCAGATTGCACAGAGCCTTACTTACTATTCATTCACATCAGTGTGAAATTCTTTCCAAGGACAGCCTTGTCGGCAGACTTTCTTCGATCTGAAAATAGAAGGAGGCGGGCGGGAAATTTATGGATGAAGGTTTTTTGCAGCCAATCCGTTGCAGACACTGCTCGGGTATTCACCACTGTCAGACTGCAATAGCTGCAGAGGGGGATTCAGAAACTGAATCTCTCTCTCTCTCCCTCTTTGAGAAAGTGATAGTTCAGTGGTTAGGTTGAGGTGGGATAGGCTTCCCTGAAGAGATGAGTCTTTAGGGATCACCAAAAGGCAGTCAGAGTAGGAGATAGACGGACAGGTTGGAGTAAGGAGTTCCATAGGAAGGGAGAGACTCTAGAGAAGTCCTGGAGGTGACCTGACCATGGGAAGAGTTGACGAGGAAGCTAGAGAGCAGAAGGTCTTGGGAGGAGCGGAGCAGATATAGCCATGGGCAGAGTTGTGGATGGCTTTGTAAGTGGTTGTTAATATTTTGAATGTTATCCTTTGGGCAAATGGAAGCCAGTGTAGGGATTGGCAGAGGGGGGTTGCAGACACGGAGTGGTTGGTTAGGTTGGTAAGTCTAGCAGCAGCATTCATGATAGCCTGTGTTGAGGTAAGCCGATGTGGAGGGAATTGCAATAGTCAAGACGAGAGATCAACAGTGAGTGGATGAGTAGCCCGGCATATGCAGAGTTTTGGGTCACTGGAGGACACAGTTTATCTCCTCGCCTGACCCTGAAGAGAACTATGGGCAAAAAAGGTTGCCTCATAGTTCTCCTTTAAGTATCCAGGCCAGAGAGGCACAGCCCCTAATATCCAAACCCGGCGAGTTAAAACAAAAAAGCACAATCCATTTGGTCCCTGTAGCAATGTTGGTGGGGTCTGTACATCATCTTTATATTTGTGAAGGTCACAATTTATCAATTATATATTATAGCTAGTAGTAGTTAGTCACATTGAACTGCACATGTTCTGTGATGGTGAAAACATTTCACCATTTATCCAAGTTGTTTTGTTAGCTCAGATGAGTGCCAGAAACATACTCCAGGTGGTTGTAAATGCTGTGATTATGTTCCTGACATTCACTAGAAGTAAAGAAGCTGCTTGGATGAGTGGTAGAATGTGCCTATTACTAGCTATAATCTTTTTACATGTTACTTTTGTACTTTGTATTTATGATGTCACCATTCTTCTCTTTCACAGATCTTAGATTTATAGCTGTAGCATGGCAGGAGAACAGAAGCCATCCAGTAGCCACCTGGAACAATTTATTTTACTAGCCAAAGGCACTAAAGGTTCTGCGCTTCCAGCTCTAATTAACCAAGTATTAGAAGCCCCTGGAGTTTATGTGTTTGGGGAACTTTTAGATTTACCGACCGTGCAAGAGGTAAGACGAAGCTGTTGTGAATGTGCTTTATTATTCTTTTTTTACATAGAACAATGTATAGATAATACTGCAAATGAGTAAACTAGACATGTCAGTGGGTTGTGTTACAGCTGAACTCCTGGCAAGCATCTAAATAAGATGTGAACTGTCTTTTCTTTCAAAGGATCTTCTCATCCACTTTTATGATTCATGCATCTCTGCCAGACAGCACAGCCAGGAGGGTAACACAACTTCCTCTGATGGAATGAAGGCATGCAGTGGTGTCATCCCTCACAATTCAGAAGCAGCAACACACTGTTAGGGTGATTTACTTAGGGAACAGAGCACATTCACTTTGTAAGGTGTATGCTCACTTTGAAAAGTAAAAGTTTGACTTTTGAATGGAGTGCGACTCTGTTCACTTCAAACATTCAATGAACCGCACACTTTAACTGGACAAGCTTTACTGTTTTCATAAATTGGCCAATACGTTTTCAGCTCTGATGTTTCCTCCTGGCTGCAAATTCACTTTCAGCATGGGGATGCAGCAGAACCTGATTAGCAACCACTGCTGACCCTCCCTCTTCCAGTCTGAGTGCCGCTGTGCAAGGGATGGAACAGGTTAATATCAACACAAATGTGGGTATGAAAGCTAGTTGTATGTAAAGTTCCACCTAAATGTAAAGCCAAAGGATTTTTTTTATCATTTTGGATTAGGAATTGGTTAATATGACTGTCATATTTTTTGTTATATACGCTCCATTGGGGAGATTTTTCTTTACTTCCTGTCCTATAGTTGCAGCAAAAAGTGAGAGGAAATCTCTCCAAATGTAGGGACATCACCTTTTAAACTATTTATCTGGAACATGTGTCCATATTGGAAGATGTCTCCTCTGTTCCTGTTCTAGAGACAGCTTAAAGACGTCAGCCTAAAGCTGGCCATACACCTATAGATTATGTGCAGATGTTCTATGGTCAGATGGAAAAAGTGCAACAGATTCCTCCATCTACGCTAAACTGTGCGGATGGAGGAATCTCCCACTGGGCCAAGGTTCAGTATCTTGCTAGTCGGCCCCGCTGGCTCTCAAAATACCTGAACAATGCCTGCATCCAATCAGATTGTTCAGGTAATTTGAGAGCCAGCGGGGCCGACTAGCAAGATACTGAACCTTGGCCCAGTGGGAGATTCCTCCATCCGCACAGTTTAGCGTAGATGGAGGAATCTGTTGCACTTTTTCCATCTGACCATTGAAAATCTGCAGATAATCTATAGGTGTATGGCCAACGTAACCCTCAGTCTTTCATAGGTGTACAGGCTCCTCTGTTGTACTGAAATTGCATCATTTGATTTCACTGGTGTGTGCATTAGAGGCTGCAGCAAGTCGGATAAAGCCCCACTCCTTTTCTTGCTGAAAGGCATCCAGCATCATCTAGTTCTTTTGTTCTCTGGATGCCCCTGTCGTTGGATTTCAGCTCTTTCAATCATAGAGGCTCAGCATTGCATGTGGTTGTTACCTAGGGCAGTATGCATGCACATTTATCCTGCCTAGGAACACCCAACTAAATTCTTGAAGTTTGGGTGAGATACAGACACTGATTTGACTGTCTCTTTATGTAGGAAGAGGCACTGGTGGAAACGGTGTGTTCCTCTGCCTGCACACAAATTCTAAAATCGCCCCCCACCTTATTGCAGCTTTAAAGGAGAACTATGGGGTTAAGGCTTTTTCCCTATAGTTCTCCTTAGGTAATGGGAGGACACAAACTAGCTTCCTCCCGTCACCCTAAGCTCAGTATACCGCGAGCTGAGACGCTGAAGCGGATCCTGACAATTGTGTCGGGATCCACCCAGCTGCGTGACTGACAGCTGGCTCTGCCTATCTAGAGGCAGAGCCAGCTGTACCCGCCCCCTCCCCCGTCCGTTCCGCCAGTCAGCGCTGGCGGATCGGAGAGGGGGGAGTCCAGCCCCTCCCCTGTCACGGCAGAGAGCCTATAAACCAGAAACCCCTACAGTAGCAGGTGGGGGATGATAGTTCTAGTTTAGTTATGGGTTCAAAGTTAGCGTATACTAAGTAACAGGATTTCTGGATATCAGGCACTCTGGTGCTTGCACTTCTATTTGCTCTTCAGTCTTTTTCTCGAGGCCTGATGATAACCTGGAGCTTGTAGGTAAGAGGGAGCATGTGCTTTGCGCAGTGCAGCTCTGGGTGCCTCAATAGCTAGTTGCTAGCTTAATACTGCTACGTCATGTAAGCAGTGCTGTGTTAGCTTTGACCTGGAGCCAAACCAGAACTGGCACAGGATGGAAGAGAAAAAGTGCAACTTACAGCTGAACCTCAGGCAGATATTATTAATACAAATGAATGCAGCTCTCTAATTCTTAGTACCTCATTTAAATAATTTTTTTAGAATGCAAGCAGTCTTAATTTGACTTGGTATCAGCCTGTTTCAGTCAATGTACAGCAGGGTCTAGGGAATGGAAGGGAGATGCGACACACTGAACCAAATGAGTGTATTGCAAGGAGCATTCTCATAGGAGAATGACTAAAAGATGAGCTCATCAGTGCACAGTTTTCTCATTTCACTGTCCAGTCACAAGGGAGGGGTAGCGAGGAGACCTGTAGGTGAGAATTAAACAATAGCAGAGAAAGATCAGCTCTGCCACCCTGTTGGGCAGTACTGTGCTGTGTGGCAGAGCTGTGTATATTTCTGGACTGAATGAACAAAGCTGCAAATCATTTTGGCAGGTAGACCAGCTGCATATTTGTATTTAGCAGTTTGACTGGAGTTCAGCTTTTACCACCTCTGCTCTTACACCGGTATACCCATTATGGACCAGGGAAATAATGGTAAAACAATTAGCAGGAAAATTCTAGCTAAGAGGAAAAGGGGAGGGACATGTTAATTCATTAAAGGATATTTAAACCCTCGGAGGATTTGACATATAGCTACTGTTAGCTGAAGTAGATATATGCAAAAACATTTTTAAAAAGTTATGAACAAGGTTAAACTAACCTGTGTCTCCGCTGCGCGCTCTCGTTCGAAGATCTGAAAAATCTCGGGCGGCTGCAAAGTATCATGGGGCGGGCGCACGCACAGTACAGATCTTCGGCCGGGAGACGAGGAGAGGCACAAGGTAAGTCAATAGAAGCAGTGTGCACCCGCACAAACTCCGTGAGACAGGAAGTGCCATGAAGAGAGAGGAGTTAGCGCTGGATCGGAGACCGGCACCAGCGCTGGAGGGACTGCTGAAAACTACAGGAAAGAAGATGATGATCGGATCAAGAGGCATCATTTAAGGTAAGTCCTTCCACTAGCTTATTTCTTTTTAACTTACAAGGTTGCTTTTCCTAACTTTTCCTAACATCATATGCACATCAAAGGTCACCTTTTTGATCTGCTGTGAATAAACCGGAGTAATTACAATGTGCAATAATAACATTGCTATGTCGAAATGCTTATTGACACTGCAGACACTGTTCTGCAAGGGCCAATTTACACAAAACAAGCGTTGCTCCTGTGATACAAAAGTAGTGTGAAAATGACACATAGTAAATATGACCGAGGAGGAGGGGAGCATAGCACACGCCCAAAGTATTTCCGTGACTTTTAGAGGAGCCAACTAACTTTATTCTGTCCAAAAATCATTTAGATACCTTCCTCTTAAACCGTAACATACAAGGGTACAGGTACTCTTAAAAACTAGACTACACAGGGATTCATGCACGCACACATACACACGCACAATCATATACAGACACACAAAGGTTGAACTTGATGGACCGGTGTCTTTATTCAACCTCAAATACTATGTAACTATGTATCTATGTTTACTGTGATGAGTAGTACTGAGATTGGTCTGTTAGTCCATGGAGCGCACAATCATTCTACACGTGAGCTATGTAATTCTGTACATGCTATAGCTTATTTACACTGACTTTCTTTTCTTTTAGCTTGCTGATGGTCCCCATTCTGGATACCTGCAGCTCCTGAACTTGTTTGCTTATGGAACATATCCAGATTATGTTGGTAAGAGTTACTTTTAATTGTCTATAGATCAGCAAGACAGCATCTGTCAGTTTATGTTTTTCTTAGTATGGCATCTGGTGGTTATAACTTTCTTAGACCCACCTTTTCTATATTTTACAAGACTCTTGGTCTTGTGTATATATGTATGTGTATATATATATTGCACAATCATTTATGGTAATATATATATATATATAGAATTACCATAAGTGATTGCTTTCAAAATATTGGAGCCAGCTCCCAAGTGTTAGGAGCCAGCAACAACAAACTTGTTTTTTTTTAAATCTCTTATGTAACTTTCTCATAGTAGCCATATACATATGTGCATACGACCACTACCATATAAGCAGCCACACACTATAGTTATATATACATTTCTCTTAACCAGCCACTACCACCTCTATTACGTTTCCTAACATTGTATATATTGTGGACATTTCCGAAATGCCATGGTTTATGGGGGTGTATCTACATTTTTATAGGTGTGTACTAACGTACTGATGTCCACAAACCAGCTGCTTTTTTTTTATGATCAGCAACTGGGCGAGTTGCAGCTGAGGTTTTTATTGCTGTCTGTCTCACCGTTGGGAAGATTTACTATTGTTCATTGTCCTGATCATCACTGTTACCCTAAATGAAAGCGAGAGTACATCCCAAGTTTGGAGTTATCACCAAAACCGGAATAGAGTGGAAATCTTCCAATGGGAACACATGTTGCCATGACTAATCAGAGGGGATATCTCTCACATGGAAAAAAATATCCTTTTCAGTTTTAGTTGCGTCTACAGGACAGGAAGTGATGGGGAATCTCCCTGATGAGACACAGATGGAAAAAAAACTGACAGTGGTTTTAACTGCTACTCTATCAAATGTGAAAAACATGATAGCTTTAGATATACTTGAATGACTGTGATGACTGTGTAGACTGTGTATTCTTCTACTACCAGAGAGTTGTTACACAATGGGGGTAATTTATCAAAACTGGAGCCAGCAGAATCTGGAGCAGTTGCCCATGGCAACCAATCAGCAATTCTCTTCAGTTTGCTCAGGTAACATTTGAACATTAGAAAGGGAAGCTGGTTGGCTGCAGTGCAAATCTGCTCCACATTTTGTCTGCTCCAGTTTTGATAAATTCCCACCAATGTATTTTAGTGAACTTGACAGTCATGGTTGGCTATGAGAGGCTTATATATACGTGCAGTGATCTCATTGCTGTAGTTACTTTCTTGTCCCTCCCTCTCTTGCTTTGCCATCACAAGGAAACTAGAGAATTATTTTCTGCTAACACTTAAGTGCCGGTGAAGAAATGGCAGCTGCCTCAATCCGGATGCTTTTTCCTGCCCCCTCCGCAAAGTGTCACTGTGGGCCACAGTGCCTGTCCAGAAAGCTGGGTGAAAGGAGAATGGTTGAATGGGCAGAAGCAATGCTGCGTCATCAGATGCACATGAATAGGTCTTCAGGGTACACCTGGTTCCCCAAAATAAGTCTCATTGCCTCTGGAAACATTTGTTAGTGCAAGGATGTCCAAACTGCGGCCCTCCAGCTGTGGTGGAACTACGAATCCCATGAGGCTTTGCAAGATTCTCACAGCCACAGACATGACTCCCGGAGAGAGATGCTTCATTGGATTTGTAGTTTCACCACAGCTGGAGGGCTGGAGTTTGGACATCCCTGAGTTAGTGGGACCCAGCTCTTGGCAGGGCACACAGCAGGGCACCTTTACCGTGTTGACAAGTTAGGGAGTATGGGTAGCATCCAAATCGCCAGGAGACTTGTCCCAGTCATCATAGTGGCCTGGTAATTGGAATTTGTCAATCTTTGCTTTAGGTACCTGAAATATATCTTTATATTGGTTTCCAAAACTCCCCTACATATCGGGACATAAACTGTGAGGGAGGCCAATCGGGCTGTGTTGTATTACACTGTGCTGTCAGTATACCAGCTTGCTTGTGGGATGGGCTATCTCGGAGATGACCACATTAGCAAAGGGAAAGGAGCCACCTTAAAGCAGGATATCAGAACCATAGCTCAGGAGACCAGCTGATTGTGCAGGAAACTAACTTTGTTAAACATTAGGGAGCAGCATCCATTCTAAGGGATTTATCAGTGTTTCAAATAGCTTAAGAATATTTTGTTTTTAATGTCACTAAGTCTCTCAATAGCAACATATTATAATCTCAAATCTAATCCATAAATTGTTTAAGCCTGATAGAGAGATGGTTGTTATGAACCGAGCTGTGCGGTGTGGGATCCCTCGAGAGGCTGAACAGTGTTACTAACATTTTGGCAATTCGCATATATGTATTTCTCGTACATTTAGCTGTTTTTCCCCCCCCCCCTCTTAGCAATGAAAGACAGCTTGCCAGAGCTTTCATCCGCACAGAAAAACAAACTGAAACACCTGACAATTGTGAGCCTTGCATCCAGGATGAAGGTACGTTGTTCTTTTTACGTTGTTCTTTTTAGTTATGCCTATAGTAAAACCTAAAAAACGATGCCAAGTACCACCAAAGGGTGACCAATTGTGCCCTATATCATTTACAAGTAGGTATATCCTAAAACAAACATTGACTGCATACAGCTTAATCTGTTCCTGACTGTCAGCCTAGGAACAGGAATTGGACTGAGGTTGGTTCCTTGGCCACTCTTTTAGTTGGCTGGGGGGCAGGTCATCTTCAGGGGAAAAATATATCTGGAATTATCTTTAAAGAAACAATCTGTGAAAAAAAGTTTGTAAACTCATAAAATGTTGTTGGATGTGTTTGAGTAAGGCCTGTAAATGCACTGCATCTGTTTTTCTCGGCTGTTCTGCTAGATGAATCTCTGCATATGGCATCACTCACTTTTTCCATCTTTTCTATTCACAAAATTCTTTTCCATCTTTTTGTTTCTCACCATTCTAGAAATTGACATTGTATAAATGAGCTAAGGAAATACAGAATCTTGAGGATACATATATAAAACAAACAACCATTAACCCCTTAAGCGCGCAGTGTGTTGCATCTTTTTTGATCACCAGGGCCATTTTCATGAAACATAAATGAACATTTCTCTTCCCCAAGGTTCCCATCCAACTTAACAGCTAAAGCAGCTTTACCAAAAAAAGTGGGCAGAATTTACAGGAGGCAGAAGTGCTAACCTTGTCAAGTTTTACAGTGAATGTCTTAGGTCCCTATTAGACGGGCAGGTCTTACAATCAGTTTTTCAGGCAGATCTGATCGGAAGCCCGATGTTGGTCTCTGGCCAACCTGATCTAAACAAAAGTGCGTCCATTTACATCCATTTTCTCCCAACTCCATCCAGGTCCAGAAAAGAAACCAGAACAGAGTTGTTTTGGCGGATCTGATCGTGACAGATCGGAGGTAATTGGATGTTAGTGGACACATGTCCGCTTACATCCAACTCCCCATAGACCTCACATAGGTCCCAAAAAACTGGACGGACACGGATGTCACAACTGTGACAACCATTTCCAACCGCGCTGATCAAAACTGACAGCCACCTGTGTGAAAGGGATCTTACAGCTGTAATTGCAGCCTGAGGTGGTTCTACCAAGTAATAGCTCAGGAGGGTGAGTACAATATGTCTGCTTTTTATTTAACTTGTCAAAATACAAATGTAATATGTTGTCAAATGACAAATATCCCAGTTAGATCTGTTTTAATACAGGGGTGCAGCGTCCAAATTGGAAGTGTTTTAGGGGAGTAAATACTCATCTGAAGCACTGTACGTCCCTAATAATTTTTATACAGTTTGTGATTCC